TATATATATATATATATATATATATATATAGTTAGATAGATATAGATATATATATATAATGCAGTCATATTTGGGTTTTGTAATATAATATATATGTATATATATATATATATATATATATATATATATATATATATATATATATATATATATATATATATATATATATATATATAATCAGGCAAAATACTTGTATATATGCAGCTGTGTAAATAGCAACGATTTTTCTTTTCTAGCTTTTGGTCTTTCCTTTAATTCGTTTTTCTGATTTTATAATAATTATAATCTATTTCTTATACTTCCCAACATGTTTCAAAGAGTTTAGAGCACTTGACTGGAGTTTACTATCACCATTTCAGTAATTTACTCTACCTTAACTATAACAACCGGTTTTTACCAGTTGAACTATCTACTACATTCCCTGCATCCATATTTGGCTTTAACTGCCATAATCAGAAACAAGCCACACCATACCCCTTATTCTTTGGCGCTTCTGTAAAAGCTGGGGACAGTTCTAAACAGATTTTGGTAAGAAAATAAAATCTATTGATTTGTGTACAATGCCTGACGTTTGCAGTCGATAGGAAGCCGGCGCCCAAATAGCAGTAACTACTTTTTTCCCTCTAAGTCCGAAAGAGTTATGTCCCTTACATGTATGAAATGTTTCCTCTTACGAATATTGTAACGACTTAAATTTTGTCAAATCTCAAAACTTAACGGAACAAGTTTAAGTTGATTATAAACTGCACATTGATGACTGAAAATAACTTGTTCCCACACATGAACGAAATATGTTTATAAGGTATTTAGTTCTCACAAAAGTATTTATAATTGATATATTTCATGACAATTGCAGCAGTAACGCAAGAAATGTTGTTCATTTTTAATTTACATGATAATTATTTCTGAAAACGATAAAAATAGCATAAAATATGTTACATCAGTAACAATAAGAGAAAAACACTGAAAAAAAGGCCCTCATTTCTTATTCTTCATGTGGACTAAACCTAGCTTAGTGCAAATCCAAATGGAGGAAGGGGTAGAAAGACTGTTTGTTATTGAGAAGTTCTTTAAGAAACAGCATTCCACTTCTTTCCTTTTATCTTGAATCGAACAACAGCTGAGTTACGCATCTCACCCATGTGACCTTGTTATTTACTAATCAAACCAACTAGATAATCTGCTTTGACTAGAACCTTAAAGGGTAAATAACATAACTTGTCTTTGTACCTATGTCCATCAATTTTTATATACTAGCTTTATATTAAGAAATGCAAGTACAGATAGATAACCATTTAAATATTAATCAAGAGAAAATATTTTCTTCTGTGAAATACATAGTTAATATTTCAAACATTAATCACAGACTGGTGAAATTTTTTGCTGAATTTATTAATCCGATGGATAGATACGTTTTGCACATTAGATTAGGAAATATTGTTCGTTTAAATCATAGAGATCCATGTGCGAATATGAAGAGAATAAAATAAAAACTAAAAGAACAAGAGAGCTTGAAGAAAGATTTGAATTTCTATGAACTTTCATAATGGCGCCTGCAGCTGTAACAAAATATAAACTCTGAAACTGAATTCAATGAAAAGTGAACTAAAACTGAAACAAAATATAATATAGCCACGCAGTTCTCGAAAAATATTATTCATCAGACAATTTTAATAGATAAATTATGAAGATAATTCCTTTTACGCTCTATGTCGTCAATATTTAGTTAACAGACAAGAGTAGTAGGCAATTTAGTAATATTTCAATTTTTATTTACGTCAATTTGTTCAGAAATCTACGAGTCTAATCTACTTAGAAATGAAAAGAACGGTAAGAACGAGAGAAAAAAAGGTCTACAGAATCTGTGTGATTTATTATATATCCTCAGTATACCATGTGTTTTTTAATGTTCACACTGTCTATATATGTACCACTACTCCAAGCGCGGGCTACGTATACAGTCCACTAAAGGCTTATGGGAAGTGGTAACTAATATATTACGTTGGATTATGACATACCAACTCTTGTAATAACTAAAGGAAACCCAGAAAATTATATGTAGGAATAAAAACCTAAAAGCATAAAATGTCTAATGTTTAATAAAGTAATAGTAATACAAAATAAATCACTTTTTAATGTGTTGTTTCCCCTTAGGATGTTGGCAATGATGGCTCTCCATGACTTCTTATCCTTTGTAACTCTAAGCATTTTTTTGGTCCTTTAAAATCTTTCACTCCCTGTTCTGGATCTATTTATATATGCTCGTTAAGTAGTTTACTCGCTGTTTTTCTTTCTACACATATAGCCCTCAATATATCTTGTGCAACATTCTCATAACCTTGTTTCCTATCAATTCAAGTAATTTCAATAATCTTTGTTTAGCTTGTGGAAGACATCTTTTTCTATTCCAATGAGCTTTCGGATGTTGGCCTCACATTTTCTGTCATCTGTAATAACACTTTCCCAAACAAATTTCTCTTACATTTTCTGTACTTCATAGTTCAGATGTCTCCAATTAGTAGCTCGTATTTGGGACTGCCAACGGGGACATACATTCTGTTTTATTACTCTTCATCATTAGTCCTTTCTTCCCGTTTTCCTTTACTAACTTATCTGTGTCTCCTATCGATAAGGTGTTATTTCCATATATGTTGCCACAAAAGTAAATAGGTAATTAAAATAGATAAACTTGGGGTCAGGATTATCTCTAAACAAAATAACTAGGAAAGACCGATTTCCTCTTCCATATTTCCTAGAGACCTATATTTGTAGCCCATGTAAATAGTAGTAACACAATATCAGTTTGAGCTGTAAAACTTGCATAAATATAATAAATTTAAATTATACTATATATATATATATATATATATATATATATAAAAAAGAAGAGGGGGTGCCGCAAACGTTTTTGGTTGTAATGAGGATTTATTGAGAAAATATATACTTTGTTTTATATAATTTCACGACATTTCAAATCCATCCCCTATTCCCCAGCACGTAGAATTTGTACAATAGTGACTGATAAACATCTCCGAAAAATCCATTAGAAGAACTACATAAAACTCTCAAGAAACGAGGCTAACAACACTAGTAAACAAAGGTATTGAACTCAAGAAAGAAATTCCTCCAACTTAGAAACAAAAAGAAACGTAACGTCGAACAAACTCTAGCATATGTCAACGTACAACAAAAAACAACCCAGAAATATTCCCAAAATCACAAAAAAATCTAATTTACTTAAAGAATAATAAACTGAATAATATACTAAAACAACCAAAATAATTAAGAGCAAACGCCAATCTAAAACCTAAAACACATATTAACCTCATCTAAATTTAGTCAACACAAAATAAGTCACAAAATGCAACAAAAAAGATGGGAGTTTGTGACATCATTATAGAAGGAAACTCCTACACTTTTGAAAAACCCAAAAAACATTCACAATAAACAAAAACTTAAACTGCAACTCCAAAAATGTAGTTTATGCAATTTAAATGCACAAAATGTAAGAAGTCATATATAGTTCAGCCAACAACTGAACAACAGGGTCTCCCTACACAAAAGCAATATAAAATTGACAGACAACAGAAAACTTTTGTATCACAACACATTTTCAAATGTAACCATAAGTTTAATATCATGCCGATATATCAAACAGACAATTACTTATCTACAAATACAGGAAAAAACTTTATAGACAAATTCAAACCCGAACTGAATAGATCGTAACCCCCACCCCAAAAAAAAAAAAAAAAAAAAAAAAAAAACACAGGGTGACCAAATACAATGATCGCTCACATACATGGACGCACACTTTACGGGAGACACGAGGAGAGATATATATATGTATGTACATACATACATTTATGTATGTATATGCGGATGTTGACAACTTTTGTGTGTGTGTGTGTGTGTGTGTGTGTGTGTGTGTGTGTGTGTGTGTGTACTGGTTCCATGTAGATGTGTATATGTGTGTGTGTACTGACTACTTGTGGTGGGATAGTGTGTGTGTGTGTATGCGTGTATAGGTACAAATAAGTTTACGAATTCCTCGTATATACGCACGCATATATACACGCATGCTGACAGGAATACGCCAAAATAGAAACAGATCCAAGAGCACATAGAGGTCACTAAAACATTAAAAGATTAAATGCCGATAACTACTGCTGGACAAACCTTAATTGTTTTATGACCCTTCACGCAGAACTCTTCATTGACAATTCTAGAAAGAAAATTCGATTGCCAACACAAAAACAGAATGTCTCATATCGAGAATATTCCACATTGAACATGAAAAAAAATTAATTATTTTAATAATATGTAAAACTCTCCACTTTCACCTGAAGACGGTTGCGAGACAGACCAGAAACACGTGTCGTGAAATTATGTAAAACAAAGTATAATATTTTTTTCTCAATAAATCCTCATTACAACCAAAAACGTTTGCGGCATTTTAATATACATACTTTTCTCTCGTTGGAACCACTACAACATATTTCTCTTATATATATATATATATATACATACCCACTTACCTAAGATACATAATTGAAGTTTCCTAATATATCCATACAATAAAAATGTACTAAAAATCATAAAAGAACTTAATAACATAGAACCTACCATCGAATTTCTCCCAAAATAAATTCAGGTTCCCATTCCTCTCCAGTCTTTTGAACAAGAGAAGAGCTTTATCCCTTGTTTCCTGTTTAGGATTGTTTCCGGTTCCTTCTTTTCATTTTTCACTCCTAGATGTCCCTTGCATCTTAATGGAATTATTGCCTTACTTGAGGTGAACTGATTATTGAGTTTATTGAACATGAAACAGACAAACCTCTACCTTTCGCCGTCATAATTTTAATACGAAACAATAACAAATTAGATTTTAAAGTTTACCGTAAACCCACAATAAAAATGATTTAATCAATTTCTATGCCCACCACAGCCAAAAAATAAATTCAGGATTAATCATAGGTTTTAACTCAGAGCCCTTTGAATATCTAGCTCAGAATACCGAGATGAAGAAGGGAAAAAAACAAACTTTTTACACTTCTTCACTACACACATTATTCCACCTTCAGCGCTAGAAAACGAACATACAAAGTTCACAAGTCGAAAACATTAGGAACCACCACCGATAACATATGCATTTACGACAATAAAACCACAAATCTCATAAGCCTACCGTCCAACACTATTAAAAAAATTTGAAAACAAAATGATTATCCCCAACACTACGGTCTGTACCACCACCACCAAGACAATCGGAGATATAGTTAGTTAAAAAATGATCCAATACCCCATTGAATGCCATAAATTATGACATAAAAAGCTTGTAACGTAAGAAGAGCTACAATGGTGGGACATCTAGAGACCTAAATTCCGCATCTACGAACTTAAGAGAGACCTGCGTTAGGATAAACTATTAAACTCGCTCGTAATACATAGGAACATAACAGGACATAACTTTGATTTTGTAAATATCACCGTAATTAGAAAAAAACGCATAATCATTTACGCAGGAAATACTTAGACGAAGTTCTGATAAATATTTTGCCATCTTTAAACAAACGTTAAATACATTTTTATAGCGGTTTACTAAGCGTAGCATAGATGTGGCGCAAGGCTGAAAATATAGAGCACCCAGAGAAGAACGAACTCACTAATCCGTCGCAAATGACCTAACGAGACAAGCTGACTAACCATTGCACCACGTCGAAGTACCCAACACAATCTATTATCTCACCAACTTTTATAAAATTCACAATTAAAGAATCTAAGATACATCTACAGGGTGCAAATGGATAAATGAAAATAACACTGACATCACATTTTAACAGATATATTTACCGAAATTACACAAAAATAATAATAATAATCTGTCTATATTTCTGGGATGAGGTATTATGTACACTATTTACATTGTTCGGACCATCGTCCTCATCTTTGTTGCCATATTTATTACAACGTTTCGGCCGTTGTACGCTCTGGCCTTCTTCAAGTGGTTGGAATGTCGAACTGAGCCCTTTATTCCGGCGCTAATGCCAAGCAGTACAGCATGCCATTTCCAAATTTCTGGCGGAATGAATTGTATCATGTTGTACTTTTCTCACAGACTGTGTCCAACTGACCTTAACTATACTGTGCAGTCGACAAAATCAAAAACAAACAAAGCGCATGCGCGACATTAAAATTATAAAATGGCAACAATTTAACTCCCGTACTGCCACAACTGGTGTAACTTAAATTCTTTCACCCTCACAAAAACATTCACATATCCACATGTGGACAATCATAAAGCATGAAAAGAAATGCCTACAAGACGCACACGCATACAGAGAGAAAGAGAGAAACGAATATACATCATTATCATCCGAATCCCGCCTAGACAAACATGAATTGTACACACGAACGCTGCTTGACAACACAGATGCAAGTGAGGTCTGCTTAACCAATGAAAAACAAACACAAAAATTAAAAATACAATAATTTTATTTTTCTTCTCCACAGTTAATTCTCTGGTGAAGCTTTAATAAAAGCAAAACAAGTTATATTTTTAAACGTTTTCTAGTTGTTCCTTATCCTAACATTCTGTCAATTTCCACTCCATATTTGGTCTGTATTTGATCCAAATTCATATTGTGTGTGTGTGTGTGTGTGTGTGTGTGTGTGTGTGTGTGTGTGTGTGTGTGTGTGTGTGTGTGTGTGAATTTATTGGTTTTAGATGTTGAGTAGAATATATTATCCTTAATTGACATAGATTATTTCAAATTACTATAAATCGTTGGGACAATTCAATGGCCAGCCATGATTATGGAATTTTTTTCTTGTTTCAAGTGAAAATTGTACAACATATGAGAGAAAATATTTCATTAAAGAAAAGAGATTGTTGTCCTTCCAGTACACACTTTTACGCTTGGAAATTTACGACTTAACGAGTTCATTATACTTGTGTAGTTATTCTCCATATCATAACATTACTGATGGTTTTTTTTTTTCAAAAATACATGCTGAGTATGTGTGTTAACCAAAGTTAGCATAGCTTGTCATTCAATGCAATGGCGAATTGCTGTATGGCACACGTGTCCCCATTATTAAAGACAATTTCTTTTTAGACAAAAAGAAATTTGAATTGCATTAAGATTTTATAGTACAGGATTAAAACACATTGAGATTATTCGGATATCATATATTTTATGTTAATGAAAACTGAAAGAAAACGTAGAAATTATACAAAAAATGTTTATTTTTGGTGGGGAGTGCCTTGTTCGGCTTTCGAATATGTAATGGTAATTTACCCACGCACGCATGGACTCACCCAGCTATAAATATGAGATTTTTGGAGAGGGAAGTTTCCAGCAGTCAACTCTGACAGTCGGACTGAACATTTTTGCTGTAACACTCTCGTTTGTATATGTTTGTATTACTGTTTCTGTTAATGTTTTTGTTTAACTCAATTCCTCTCTTTGCGTTTTTATTTCTGGCCCTAACAAGGCCACAACAAAATATAATCAATAATTCACGCCTGCTTCATTCGAAATGGAGAACTTAGGTCTCCAATTCAATATCTGTCTATATTTCTGAGATGAGATATTGTAATTATTTACATTGTTTGGACTGGTGTCCTCATCTTTATTATCATGTTCCCGAAGTTTCGGACGTTGTATGCTCTTGCCTTCTTCAGGTGACTGGAATTTCGAGCTGAACCACTACCATAGCCAGGTATTGAACAAAAACTTGGAGAGATGAGTTAAAGGGCGATAACTGAGACATCCGGAAGAGGTCTGGCACGTGAAACTAGAACAATCTACACCGGTGGATGAAATAAAGGGTTCACTTCAAAATTCCAATTACCTGAAGAAGGCTGAAACTTTTACAATGTCTGAAACACCGTGAACATGACAATAAAGATGAAGACATCAGTTCAAGCAATGTAAATAATATAAATGTCTCCAGTTCAGAATGAGCAATAGCCTCGGACATATTTGTTTTGAGATGTTTTTTATGTCATCAGTCTTCACTCCTTTTGCACTTATTGTGGCATGTATGTCTTTAATTAATATATGTTATATATATATATATATATATATATATATATATATATATATATATATAAATCCTTATAGTGAATACCGATTATATAAGCATAAAATAATTGCACACATACTCACACACGTATATAAATATATATATGTGTGTGTATAACCACGCCAATACATGCAGACATAGACACACATGCATGCAGTTAAATGTTGCTGAAGAATATTAGGCTAATATTAACTCATGTGAAGAATCTTATAAGGTACACACACACACACACACACATATATATATATATATATATATATATATATATATATATATATATATATATATTTATTTTTTAAAAACGTTTTTTAATGAATACTCATAGTTGAGTAGATGGTCTGTTTTTATTTATTTATTAAACAGTATATTCAATTATTTACATTAATATACGAGCCTTAATATTTGAGAAATCTTGTTAGAAAAATATATATCCTTTAGCAGGATTCAAACTTTAATTCTCCTTTAGATCTTACGTACCTAAGACCAACACGGTCACGCAGGACTTCCTGAACAAACAAATCCCGAATAGTGCTTTTGAATACAGACCTTTCCCGATTCTCGAAATACAGATATCTGCTCTGTTTCGTATGCTAACTGTTTAATAAATGAATAAAAACAGAGAATCTACTGAAATATGAGTCGCCATTTAAAAAAAAAACATTCGTTTAAACAAATAAATTAGAAACATGTCGGATTTAGTCCATTTCCTAAAACACACACACACACACACACACACACATATATATATATATATATATATATATATATATAGAGAGAGAGAGAGAGAGAGAGAGAGAGAGTGAGAGACCCCTGATATAGTCAGCTATATTTCTTTGTGTATTACTCTACCTGTCAGCTTACCTATGATAAACACTAAGTGTATTTCGCATGTATATAACTTGAAATTACTTTCATCGCGTACGCGTATTTTTCCAACACATACATACATGTACACACACGTATACACACACACACACACACACACACACACACACACACACATATATATATATATATATATATATATATATATATATATACCAAACCCAACTTCAGAACTTTATACAACCGTGTCTGACAATTTTGACAAGTCTATGCCAATCGTGGCTGGCCCAGTTTCCTCCATTCCCCTTCCCAATATCACCCACCCCAAATATTTAGCCCCAGCGAATAAACACTTATGAATATAAAAAATAAAATAAGACAAGTTGTACCAGAAATAACTAAGAGTAGATTGGGAATTCTGTTATTTTATTTCTTTTTTGTCCATTTTTTTTCTTATTGCCGAACTTTTAATTTCTTTTTCTTCTTTTTTCCTGATCCTCTTCATATATTACTCTTTATTTTTATTAGCATTTTTTTTACAAAATGACAGATTATAACGGCTATTTAAGAAATTTCCTTTTCCCAATCTCTCTCCTCAATTTTACTCTTTCAATATTTTACAAATCTTTCTCTGTTTTATCTTCACTCACATTTCTTTGCAATTATTGTTCCCTCCACTATTTTCTCTTTCTTTTCTTTCTTTGAATGTTGGCTTTCAGTATTTCCTTTACTTTCTCTACCTCCATCTCGTTACAGTTTTCCTTTCTCTTGTTTTATTTCTTTGATTTTTCTTCATTTCCATATCCTTCGTCTTTTTTTTTTCTCTTTCACCCATTTTCATATTAGATTTTTTTTCTTTTCTTTCGCTACTTTAAATGCGATCTTGTTCGTTTATTCTTTCTTTTTCATTTATTTTATATTTTATTTTTTGTTACTCTTTTTCTTCTATTTTCACTTTTTCTCCCAAATATTTCATTTTTTACTACCTTTTTGCACTTCATTTAGTCTTTGTTTTAGATTTATTTATTTTCTCTATTTCTTTTCTCGTTCCTCTCTCTCTCTCTCTCCCTTTCTCTCTGTCCCTTTCACTGTCTGTCTGTATCTGCCTCTCTTTCCCTCTCTCTCCCCCTCTCTCTCTCTTCTGTCTTTTATTTTCAGTTATCAACCATTGATAATACGAAAATGTGTTACAACTACCAGATGAAGTTTCGATTTCAACTTTTGACCATTGACTCATCTTCCTCAATCCGTAATTACAACAATTATAGCCATGGCAGCTTTCGATCAGACGAAGAAAAATTTAGATATTATTTTTACAAGAATTGAGATTATCCTTCAGAATATTTTCATTTCATTTTTATTCACAGCAGTCACTTCGAGGTTCACTTTGCCAGGAGGCATAATCTATTCGCTCATCTTCAGCATCTGTACAATTTTAAGACATTAATTTGGATAATTATGGATAAAAGTTAAAATATCTAAAATTTTACAGAAACTTCAAATTAATACAATACAAAATGTGTCAGTTCTTATGTTTTCATGAGCAAGTTGTTATTTCTAGATTACAAAATTGTGTGAAAGAACAAATATGGCTGAATAGATTTATTTACAAAACATCCGTATTCAAGCAAATAATCACAATTCACTCTCATACAAACGTATTCTATATAAAGGACATAGGTACACCAAATTTATTATTTTTATTTTTCCTCGCCTTTTCTTTCTTCCTTTTTCTCTATTTCTTTTCTTTTCCCGCTTTATCTTCTAATCTTCATATTTCTTGATATTTTCATTGATATCTTTCTCTCATTCTTACTCTTCATTCTTTTTATTTACATATTTTAAGTCATCGACTTACATCAGAAGGACGAGAAGCGCACGAGAAAGATAATTGTAAATGTTATTTCATTTCATACACATGATTCTGCGAAAACAAAATCTGTGTCGTCAAGGAGAACATCATCAAATTTTGATCCCGAGAAGAAGCATGGTTTCCGGGTCGAAACATCATTACCACTAATCCGGAGCGTCCAATTATTACTTTTCAATTCGATCGGATTTTGTTGGATTCCAACCCGCTATGGTAATATTAGATGAAAATGCTGTCACATCACTTTTTATATTAATAAATGTCCAGCCAACGTTCATGAAACCAAAAAAGAAACATTAATTCAATTTGAATAAACTGACAAGATGACAAAATCAGGTTGCTGAACAGTAAATGTGAACTTCCGCTGAAAAGGCGAGACGGTCAATCAGAAAGGTTTTTTAAACTTGTAGTTAGTGCCGACAAAGAAACCCATATACTGTGTTATATTACAATATTACCTTCACTCAATTTGCAATCTCAGTCTAAGATTTTAGCCATTGCCATATAAGGCAATTAATGTGTGTGTATGTGCATCTGTCTGTCTGTTTTTGTTTGTGCATGTCGAAACGCAAATATATTAAATATATTATAAATCTGATTCAGAATATTCTATTAAATCATTCCGGTAAAGCAGAATTGAATTAATTATATTTTAAATTTTTGATAAGACACGATAAAAAGGAATTGGAAATAAAAAAAAAAAACTAAAAAGTGAATTATAGATGGAAACGAAAGAAGAGGCGTGTAAATGAATGGGAAGGAAAAGAACAAGCGACAAATTAAACACGAATTGATAAAAATGATGAACTTTTAACAGATAGTCTTCTAACGTATTTCTTTTGTCATATACATCTCCGCCTTCATGTTCTTCTACTACTACTATTACTATTAATAATAATAATAATAATGTTATTATAATTCTTCTTACTTTTCTTGTTCCTTGTCTTTAAAATTATCTTCGTTTTTAACATTTTTTCTATCTTATTCTGTTTTATTTCTTTGTTTCTTTTTATTCTCCTTCGTTGTGTTGTCACATCCCTCATTTTATTTTTGTCTTTGCATTTTTTTCCTTGGCCTTTTCCTTTTCATTATCTAAATTCTCTTATATTTACTTTCTCCATTTTATCTTGAAGTTATTTGTGCTTTTTCTTTTTTTTTCTTTTTTTCCGCTAGTCTTTTCTCTTTTTCTTCTTCTTACTACTACTAATAATTTTCTTATTCCTCTTTTTATAATTCTTCTTCGATATCCTTTTCTTTGTCATTTTCTTCTTGCTCTCATGTACTCTTTTACATCTTGCTTCCCCTTTCTTTCCCTTTATTCACATCGTCCACATTCCTTTTTATTCTTTACTTTTTGTTTTGCCAACATTTTCATTTGTCTTCCTTTCTTTCTTTTTTTCTTTCTTTATTTCTTTCTTTCTTTCTTTCTTTCTTTTTTTTTTTTTTTTTTTGTTATTGTCTTTTATCGTCTTTTTCTCTAATCTCTTTTCCCTCATCACTCAAAAGTCTTTCTTTGGTTATTGCTGCCATTGCTGTTTTTAATACTATTTCTCCCCACGAAATAAGATCTTCCTTTCTCTGGGGATCTTCTGTTAACACTGATATAAATAAAGCATCCTTAATGCCAACATAAGGCCAGGATTTTTCTTTGCAATTCTGAAATGTGATCATTCATTGATGTCTTTTGAAACATGAATTTTTTTTTGTAGTGTTTTTTTTTTCTAAGATTGCTTTTTTAGGAGTCGGCATTTATTTACCAAATTTTTTTTTTTACCCTTCGTTGTGTCTCAGGAAGTTGTATGGAACTTTTTATGCACGAAATTCATCTCACGACTGCAAGATACGAGGTGAACTGACAAGAGCAACCAACGTGGCCATTTCTTAGATTATCATCAAGTAATAAAGAACAATTAGCAAGCAATGCTATAAGCCCGACAACCAGGAAAAAATGACGTGTGTATAACCCACTGAGCGTAAAAACTAACACATGAGAAAAGCTGGAAAGTACACTGGCTGAAATATTATGATCAAACTTATGAAAATCAAGATAGTTGCTAGAAAATCATTGAATGTTTGTCACTGGATCATAGTTGAGAAAAAACTCTAAGCGAAACGTTCCGAGGATTCAAATTCAAATCTGTCTATCACATGGTACTTGGAAAGGAGATGGGTATTGCTAAGGAATAAGAGTTAAAATAATAGAATGCTATTCTATCGATCTTTGTGGGACCATTCAAACAGTTAAGTAAGCAACTAACCAATTGTTATTACTTTATAACCTCGAAATATCCAATCGATTTAGTGTTTGGAACTGTTTCTTTTATCTTTTTCCAAAGTACTCAGCTCTGAAACAAAATCCTTACGACACGTGATTCCTGCAAGCACAAATTAGGAAAGGAAAAAAGTATAGTTTTAACAACTTATAAAAAAAAAATGATGAAAAGTATTGATGACTTTGAATTTGGAACGATCAAAAAGTAACCAATGCTAGAAAGGTTTTACTACTACAACTACAAACACTACTACTACCAGCACCACTACTACAAGAGCAAAAAAGATGAACATTGTAAAATAAATATCCTATTTATCATTCTGAATAATCACTTCCTTTACGTAAGTGTTCGTGAGTTTCTAAAATATAATATATTTAGAATAGAGTGAGACGTTAATCCAATATAAATATATATTTGATTAAAAGCCACAGACAATATTCTTATAATTTTGATTTCATCTTTATGTCAGATTAAAAGGTTTTTAGTGTAGATGAGAATTGCCCAGTGTTTATCGATTATCAGGATCCTTGAAATTAATCGTTCGGAATTAAACACTGGAATTATAGCTGTCAATTATGTAAAATTGCTTTCTATACCTTGTGTGTCCCGATGACGTCACGCAAGCGACAATGCACAGGTGGGTTATTGTTTTGTTTTTGTTTTTTGTTTTTTTTTAGGAGGGGGGAGAGCGAATATGCCAACAGTTAAATTCCCATTACGATAATAAAAGCTCTTATTCAAATTTCTGTTATTTACGGAAACAATATCTTTTTTGTAAAAAAAATAGGAAAAAAAGCATCCATTGTCTGTAAACATTAATTAGTCACACATACACACGCACGCACACAACCGCGCACACACACACACATATATATATATATATATATATATATATATATATATATATATATATATAATATATATGAAAGGAGTAATAACAAAATTTTAATCAGATGATCCAGATGTCATGTTTCAAATATTAACATTAACACTGAATGCCCGAGTATTACCATTCAATATCCTCAAGCCTTGTTTGTTCTACCTCATATTGTGCGCGTATGTGTATAATTATATATTGACTCTCTGTCATTTTTCTCTCTCTCTCTCTCTCCTCTTTCTCCCATATATATATATATATATATATATATATATATATATATATATATATATATATATATATATATATATATATATATATATATATATATATATATATATATATATATATACCCATGTAAGATTAGAACGAATAGATTACAATTCCAACGTTCATAACATTTAATTTTAAAGAAGTCTCAATTTAAAGTATTTTACATCGAAAACTAAACTCTCTTTCTCTCTGTGTTTGCATCTCTCTCTCTCTCTCTCTCTCTCTCTCTCTCTCTCTCTCTCTCTCTCTAATACTTGGTTGTTTTATCTTGAGGTTGAATGGTCGTGGTTTATTTCTTTAACTGGTGACTGCGATATACGCATTAAGGGTATTACCTTGTGTTTTTGTCTGGTGAGTGCATGTCATTCCTCACCCTGACTAAACATATAGCGGGAGCAAAGCGGGTGGCTCAGGTCCATTGATAAGACAAGATTGCTTTAAGCTAGACAAGCACAGCATTACCTATATGACTTCCATATCTCACAGAATACAAACTTGTGATATCTCTCACACGGCTTAGGAAATTTCCAGACTAATAAAAGTCCTTGGCCCTACGAAAGTTAGTGATAAGGTTAAAATTCCTGTCGTTGTTCTATAGAACCTTAAACCAGAGTTATACCCAACTTTTCCAAAATTCTTCAGCTACTGCCTGAAGGATAAATGTTTCACAGATCCATGGAAGATGTCATCCTTGTGCCTAGTTTACAAGAATGCGGGTGATCGCTAATCATCATCGCAATTTCGCCCTATCAGCTTCCTTAACCAGCAAACATTTTCAGGTTATCAACACCTCAATAGAAACAATCTCATAAGCGACAAAATATGTATTTCGCTCCTTTAGGTCCACTGCTGATTTCATTACACATATAATAAGTAAAGTGCTTCATAATAAATCCATGACGAGATTAATCGCCTTAGGTATGTCGAACACTTTTGACAGGATGTGGCATCGGGGTTTGCTACATAAACTCACCAGCTATGATATTTCTGGGAGAATCTTCTCAATAATCAAATCGTTCCTATCGAGTAGGTCCATTAAGGTCATTTTTAATTACCAGTCCTCTGCTAACCACGAGATCAAAGCGTGGCTAACCCAAGACTCTCATCTCGGTCCTATTCTGTATAAAAATTCTCAGATAATTAATATATATATATATATGTGTGTGTGTGTGTGTGCAGACGATACCAGGGTTGATGGGAGCTCCTCCAAAAATCTAGGTGACCAGTGCCTGACAGTTGATCTATCCTTTGACCTTGCTGGCACAGCTCAACGGGGAAAGAACAAGCTTTTAACATTCAGTACCTCCTACAACAAATCTAGTAACGTTTCACTATCACATTTCTTTAATAATGAATAATTTTACTCTCAATGATGCTTCTTGTCAAGTCAAGTGGAACTCATATATACAATCCATCCCTACAGATGCTTGAAAAATGGTCGGTCCTTTTTACTGCTTTAGAATGTATCTGACACATTTTCTCATGCTCTTTAATTTGCAGAAGCCAGTTTGGACTAGACATGGAGAATTGCTAAAATATCTGGGCTGGAACCAACCGGTCCTCGCTTTCCGGCCTTGACAGATTTCAAAAGTGTTAATTATACGCATTGTTTGCCCGTTTATTCATTATTTTCCTGAACCGCATATTTAATAGCGAATAGATTTCTATTTGGTTGGGCGGGGAGCTATGTCTGGCCGAGGGCGTAAAAATTATTCCGAGTAATGCTTATCCTGTTATAATCAAATTCCAGGGTGTCATTTCCACTTCAGTCGGGAATAATCTCCAGATGATACAAAAACCGATAAGCCTTCAGAATGGGGTCGAGATTTCATATGTTTGCACCTGGTATTCTCCCAGATTAAAAAAAAGAATGAATAATGCTTGATGATATCACAAGGTACTGTTCGGGTTTCCTGTGTTAGTGGTAATGAGGCTGTAGCACACGAAATCATACCTGAACCCAGACTCATCATTTCATGAGGATTAGATTAGAGACACTACTGTTATTGCAGCAGTCATTTTAATAATGCTTATTGTAATATGTGTACGGTAAATAAAAATTTCATATTGTGCCTCGTACCATTCAGCCTCGATCATATAAATATTATATATATCCATATATATCATATAAATATTATATATATCCAAATATTATATATATCCAAATATATATATATATATATATATATATATATATATATATATATATATTATATGAGGGAGGTTGAATGATTCGCTACACGACCCACCTCCCTAAATCTGACCAAATGAATCACCAGATTGCATGAATTCCTTAGTTTGACCGAGAACTTTTCAAAACCCAAGATATATAAATTTTACTTGTACACACACACACACACACACACACACACACACACACACGTGTAATCGTGAGTGCATGTATGCGTATGTTACGAAATACTCTGGTCATAAATATCGACAAAATGAACCAGTCGCCAGGTCTGGCTGAAAGGCAAGGTGAGAATCTGAGAAAGGAAATTCTACCGTAAGCTTCAGAGTCTCCCCTGGGCTTTGTTGTTTGCCGTTGCTTACAGACAAAGAAAGACAGATACAGGTTTTTGAATATTTCATTTATTTATGCGCCATTGATATATGTCGAAATACTTGTCTTCACCCATACTCCTGTAACTGTCCACCCGGAAACCCATACAGGTTATATATATCTTGCTACAGCCTACACAGCGACCTTTGCAGACATTCTGTAGAAAGTGAGATGTTCAATGCTCCTTCTGTAGACTTCTTTCTTATGGAATATGTATTTTATGAATGTGGACGTTAGTTGTTGATTATTAGTTATATATATATATATATATATATATATATATATAGTCGCATATCTGCATTTACGCCCGTAATTGTAAATCTATTTACGAACAGATATAGATGGGGAATGATAGAAGTTACCTACTAGAGTGTGAGAATTAACAAGTTTCTCCCACAAATCAATCCGAATACAGTGAATTCGATATTTAATAATACTTAACTGTGTTTTTATGTCTAAGCAACTTTCTTTTTCTACTTCATATTGTACTAATCCATTTCAAATTGAGAATAGACAACTTCTAATTGTGAATGTTTGACTATGGACAGTCTGTTCTCGTCTCATCCGTTGATGCTACGTTAAACAGGCGAAGGCACCCCTTGGCCTTAATGCCTGATGTTGCTAGCTGTCACCTGGAATGTAGTATTGGCGGTGCCAGTCTCACTCTCACACGCGGCGTCGTAACCACCACACTCTGCTGGGTGCTTGTGCAGTCACATTGCCGGTAGACAATGGTCGTCTCTGGGGCTTCGTAGCGGTACTCTATTCTATTACACTTGGTTTGTTTCTGCTAGTTACTATTGGCTGTCTCAATCGTTTTACTTTCTAACCATATTTGGTATGCCAACGACAAAACTATTTAGTGTGTGACCGTGTGTTACGTTTGGTTATTGAAAGACCAACAATCATCATCGCCACTACTCGCTGCCAGCTGATCGAAGCGCGATGCCGGAAGGCGGTTGTTCTTTCCATGTTATCGTGTGAGTACTCTTGCGGATATCTCTCCATCAGGTCAGATCATAAATTAAGGGGTCACTTATCACTAGGTATTAATAAGAGACATTGAATCAAATGGGCAGTCGAATACATGCAGACTGATTTTGTAACCGTTCTTTTCACCAACACAATCTGTACTGCCCTCAACATACGCAAAATGGATAGCGTAAAGTCCAGACTTATAATCATTTTGAAGGTACACATGTCGACATAATTCAAGAGGCCAAATGCTTTTCAAAATATGATTTTTTTTTATATACGAAAATGTTCCATCACATTCAGCAATTAAAACTAATGGATTTTATTCAGAGATTAAGATTTTTTTTAATATTCGTCTGATGAATTGATCAGTTTCTTCGACTGAGTTTAACCCAAGTTAAAATTTGGGGAGACATTCTAAATAGTGTTATTTCATTATTGAACGGTGGGTTACCCGTAATCATGAGTTTTGGAATGCCTGTTCTACAGTCTACTTTTTATGAAAAATTCAGTATGCCACAAAATCAATGAATAAACTGCTTCTTAAACTAATTATGTCTTTATAATTCGCTGTCTTAAGAATGGCAAAATTTACAATTTTTGTTAAAACAAATGATATGCGAATTTTGCGCAATTCCTGTCCTTCTAATTTTAATTACAGCATAATGTTTCTTTGAGTTTTACTAACATGGCTAATAATGTGAGAATTGGAAAACCTGGTAAAATTCATCAAAATGTTTCCACATCCTAAGTTTGATTTGTTGTCTACTATATTTATGTGAAATGTTAAATGCACTTCATCTATTAATGGCCATCATGAAAATTAAAATAAATATTCGGTATTATAGGTTTCTGAAAAAAATCCGATATTAATTAGAAATTTATAAAAACACAATATTAATAGGAGAAGGCTTCAATAGATTAATAGTGCAAATATTTCTATAAGTATCTTTATTAGTATTCTGAACATTATGAAAAAGTAAAAGTAACAAATAACGTGAGTGTAAGTATATATATATATATTTTATTTATCTCCTTGTTTGTGTGCTTATGCCTGTAGATTATTTTCATTTCACACACACATATATATATATATATACATATATATATATATATTTTTTGTGTGTGTGTGTGCTTTTGCATGCGTGCAGATTATTTTGCGTATATATAATTATTTTTATTCATCTCCTTGTTTGTGTGCTTTTGCATGCAAATTATTTTTATATATGCATGTATGTGTGTATGTGTACAGACCTGCATGTATGCATCTGCATTTACATATGAGGTTACATATATGTTCGTATGTTCTGAATTTGTATAAGTGTTCTGTAGGCGAAAAGTTAAAATATACTTTTTATTGTTGATAATACAGCTAATCATTTCTCATCCGAAATCACTTTTTAAACTCTGATGAAAATTAAATCGTCAGTTATACGTTGATCTTTTATTGGTTGCGCTTAATTTTGTGCTCACTGCAATTTATTAGCTTAAGTTGATTACAAACGTTGAAGTTTCTTATTGAGATTCTGTTTAATTACGCACTGGTAACACTGATCAGTTTTTGAACCTGTCGTGATCCAAAGTTAATGCAAACGTCATTCAGACATATTTGTAAATGTTAGCTCAGTGTGACAGCAGGTCAAGTGCAAGCAGATGTCAATGTAAAGAACGTTATACCATGTGTTGAGATGACAGAGTTTTATCTTGGATCGAACATGGATCTTTGGTATTTGTAGTAAATACGTACTTACCCCAGCCACAAGGCAATCCATTTGTATGAACACTTATACACGTGCGTGCGCGCGCACACACACAAACACACACACACACATACGAAGATGAAATTTTAATGTTCGAAGACAGAAAGAGAAAGATGTTTGTCTGCAGTGTATATGTTTACACGTTCCAATATCCTTGACTATTGATCTTATGGTAAATAAATTCTATTTTGGTAATATGCCCACGCAGGTATGAAATCTATGAAATTGTATGAATGTTTGTGCCAAGGTGAACTTTGTCCTAGTTAGCGTCTTCATTGTTTTTCTGTATTTTCACTCTTCAACCCGAAAACTCTCCGAACAAAAAGGCCAGATATTTATTGGAAGCAATCATTTTTTTATCTGTCGTCGACCTACCTACCTACCTACCTACCTACCTACCTATCTATCTATCTATCTATCTATCTATCGATAGATAGATAGATAGATAGATAGATAGATAGATAGACATGCATATATAAACACACACACACACATATATATATAGTTTTTGTTTCAGTCGGTGTTTGTCTTTGTACGTGTGCTGATTTGAGTCTAAATTAGCAAAAAGAAGTAACGTCGGAGAAGTGAATGAAATTTTGTCTGTATTATTCCTAAGTGTCACGAGCTTATCACGTAGAGCAATGCGCAAATTGCGGCTGGATTGGATGGAGTGAAAATATTGCTCGAGGACTGAAAGCCAACTGATTCCCTCATTAGCATGTGTGTGTATGTATGAGAGAGAGAGAGAGAGAGAGAGAGAGAGAGAGAGTCTGTGTGTGTGTATGTGAGTTTGTTTACATCTATACGTACCAAGTATTTTAATAATTAAAATACAGTGTTTACACCAGATGTGCTCCGTTTTATAACACTATTCTTGCCTAAGTATCTTTTTTTTTTCTGTTAGATGAAGATGCTTTTTCTTCTTCTTTTTGACCCTCATTTATTGCTTGCATTTAATGCTTTACCGTCGTTGACCTTCTTTCTAGTTTCTCTCTTTTTTCTATTCTTATTCTCAGTTCATTTACATCTACACAGTACTGAGTCTATAAAAGCGTACATCTAAATTCATACAAAAGCGTACATCTACATTCATATCGTTACTTTTTAATTTCCCAATATCACGAATATCCATGAGACAACATTTTCTTACAAGTCGATAATTCGTTAATCGGAGTGTTGAATCATGACGATTTCAGATTTGTGAAAAGTATTTGATATCTTTTGTATTATTTGATACTTCAGGCGGACGTTAGGCTAGCTGTTGCGGAGAGTTTTTGGGTCTTCGGACTTTTACCTTCAGCGTAAAAGTTATAAGAATTTAGAAATAATCAAATTATTTTATCTTTATTCGACACCTTAATTCATCATAATCTTTCTTCGTATGCGCAACCGATCTCCATAGTTTGTTTACATTTATTGTGTACGCAATTTTTATTTTCTTTTAAAATCACCATTCTTTATGATCCCTTCACATGAAGTCACTTTTAAAATACATTAGAGAACACGAACTATGTAATATTTCGAATATGCCACAGTACGCGTGCTAGAAAAAAAGACATTATTACGTTTTAATTACTCGATATCAATTACAATTGGGACAAAAAGCCGAATTAAAGTTAAACCTTTAATAAAGAATTTTTTTTAACCTTTCACTCTGTTTGATATTTAAATTTAACTTAAAATTAGTTATTTATTTAATATTTAATCGCGTATAACTACACGAGTTACTACCTTTTACCTCTGGTTATTTATGATTTGATGAGATCGGAAAATGGGAGGACGGACACACGTCCACTGCTCTTTATTATTATTAGATTAGTCTAGTTATTCAACTACTTTTATGGAAGTTTAAATTTTGATATATTGCCGCTAAAGTAGGAAGAGACATTTGAGCGTGAAACAAACGGATTAAAAGTTTGGAAAAGAATTTTTATTTTTCCTGCAAAATCGGACATTATGTACTAGAAGTTTAAGATATTGTAGAACATATTTTACACTACGATTTACCAAATTTAAGGCTTACGAGCCATTCAAAGTTTGGGGTTACTTTTAAAATCGTTATAATGAATGAGGTGTATACAAATGAAAAACAAAAGGTGGTAGGAAGTGAATATAATGAGGCTAGATAATGACAGACCCTTGATTTGAAGAGGTTAAAATGGTTGCTTTCAAAGAAGCATTTATGCGAGAGTCTATTACACAAAGTAGGAATTCATTTAAAAATTTAAATAAGTTTCTAACATTTGAAATACGGAAGAAATGGTGATTCTGCTTCATGAAATTAGTATTACAGGTTATAGATGTAAAGGTCTGAACTGGCGGAACTAAAGAATGGAGCCCATGTGAACACTTGACATGGAAATAGCTATAGAGTAGCGATTGACTTCTGTGTAAGGTTGCACAATAACGCATAAACCTATTTTGAACTCGACCATGGCTGGAAAGTGAAGACTGATCAACTTCAGACCTATCTATATATTAGTGACTCTTTTATATGAATACTTCCTGAATCTAAATTAAAATCAACAAAAATCTGTGTATTTGATTTATCTTTCCTCCACTCAAAGTTATGAATCTCGAGAGTAATTGAAGCATTGCAAGTATTAGTGTACAAGTCAGTATAAAAACAGTTTCTTTCTACTCGGTAGATGCACGTCTCTTGAAAAAGTAATTTTATTCTAAAAGAAAAACAATAATCATAAAGAGTGTAGTTGTTCAGGTTTTCATTCTTACAAGTGTGAAAATTCATTCCACACTAGAGAGATTAATCTCTCTAGTGTGGAATGAATAAATAAATTATCGCCACTGTTGAAGCTTAAGTCACCGCTTAACTGCGCTTACATCCACTGTTTCGTCTCCCTAAACGTCCTGCAAATGTCAATGAACGTCGATGGGTAACACATAAAGCAGAAAAGGTTTTACCCATCGACATTCAATGACTGTCCTCTGCTTCGGGCGTATTTCATGTCAGATACCGTTTTGCCAGAATGCCT